ACGCTAGTTCAGTCACTTAGCTAGTTTGAAACGACGAGACAGCATCTTATCTTGACTTTGAGCGTTAATTGCTTTGCAATTCGACGTATCGAGGATTGCACTTAACAAATTTGCAACTGTGTTCTGTGCTAGCGATAGACATCGTTAATTAATTACATTAATTTCGATTGACGTAACGTGTGATTATTTTCATTCTTAAGCTTACTGCTTGCTACTGTATTTATTTAACGTGTTAGAAGCTGGAATTAGAAACAGAGATATAATAGAAATGTATATGAGCATGATAACTTATTCATGAAAAATTGAATTGGTAATCGTTGGTCGTATAAATAGATGAATGTTAATATTTGTTTTGCAATCTTTACCTTCAGATAATTTCCATGATGTATATTTCAAATGTACTTAAAATATAAACACTACGTATCGCGCTGCTTTTCACTGATATTCCATTTAAACTGTATGTATGTAGTAGCATTGTTTATTTTCTACATGCAGAAACATGAACAGCTTGAACAGAAATTCGTCGGATTTCGATGACCTACATGGCGTTTAATATATTAAACAAATCAAATAATAAATATCAAATAATGATTAATAAACACTTTGAATAATAAATATCCAAAGTAAAAAGCAAACAGCTTTTAATTATTCTATTCCGTAAACTGATACCGCTTTCTCTTTTGACAAACAGATCGGTGAAACTACTACCAGATGGAAGGACACTCATCGTAGGTGGCGAAGCAAGCAACCTGAGCATCTGGGATCTGGCGAGTCCAACGCCAAGGATCAAAGCTGAATTGACGTCGAATGCGCCAGCGTGTTATGCTTTGGCAATTTCGCCGGACTCGAAAGTCTGCTTCAGCTGTTGCAGCGATGGTAACATCGCTGTCTGGGATATACAGAACCAGTCTTTGCTCAGACAATTCCAAGGTCACACGGATGGTGCATCCTGCATCGACATCTCCGCGGATGGTTCGAAACTGTGGACCGGAGGATTAGACAATACCGTGCGCTCGTGGGATCTTCGGGAAGGCAGGCAACTTCAACAGCACGATTTTACTTCGCAAATATTCTCACTTGGTTACTGCCCCACTGGCGAATGGTTGGCAGTAGGAATGGAGAATTCAAATGTTGAAGTCTTGCACGCCACGAAACCGGACAAATATCAGCTACATTTACACGAGTCTTGTGTACTTTCTTTACGTTTCGCTACCTGCGGCAAGTGGTTCGTCTCAACTGGCAAGGATAATTTACTGAACGCGTGGCGTACACCATACGGTGCCTCAATATTCCAGGTAAAACTTGATAATCCATCTCTATTCCACTGGATGTGATACAGGGCACGTTATGATGGGGTATTTGACTAAATTTAATTAAATTTCAATCATATATTCTGATTTTTCGAACAATAAATTTAGCACAATAAAATAAACGAAAAGTTAGACCAACAACGTTTGCAGATTTGTTGCAGATATTGATTGCTATATCAACAAACCGGAAAATGAGGAAGAATATAATACATTATGATGTATTAGAAACTTCTTCATATATCCAGAGTCTCAAGTCCTTACGTATCAGTATATCTGTGAATTTTTTAACGTAACATTTTACGACCTCGTTATATCGTAGCCTGTACTATATATAAATTATGACAAATTTAAAAAGCAAACTGATACACTTTCCCCTTTGTTGACTTAAGTCATCTCCGATCAATTGCAGTATAATTCGCATACTGTTATTGTATGCATATAGTCGAAATCTAATAATAATAAAAAAATAATTTCCAATTTCTCCTAATAATAAAATAATTTGATGTTACAGTCGAAGGAGTCCTCGTCGGTGCTCAGTTGCGATATTTCTACGGACGACAAGTATATCGTGACTGGATCGGGTGATAAGAAAGCAACAGTATATGAAGTGATATACTGAACAGCCAACTGGACGATACATTTAAAAATACTGAATATTGTCAAATGTGTTTTTATAACATCGATGCGTAGAAGAAACAGAAAGACAAGAAAGAACAAGAAAAAGTGGAAGAAGCCTGTTTCAAGAATTGCACGAAATATAAGAGTATGCACTCTGCAAAGTGTATTATGAGAAAAAAAAAACAGTTCTTTTGTGAATCGACGAATGATACGTTAGCGTGTGTTATATTTGTTAAATTTGAATCACGCGCAGCGGCTTCCGTGTTACATGAGAGAGAGAGAAAGAGAAAGACCAGAGGAAGCTGCGAGCCGAACTGAAGTTACATTATATAGATATAAATATATATAAAGGTGGCAGAACGTTTTAGGTTTAAGATTGTATAGTACATATGTTATAAATACGCTAAGAAAATATGATGAATGGGACTTTTATGCGTGATAATGTTCGCTCGGATGATTGTGGTCCGCGTGTTCGACTTCGAGGCGAGAAGTCCCTTGTGTAATATGTTACTAATGTAATATAGAATTTTACGATAAAAAGTTCGTGCGATTGTGAGAGATGCAAAGTGAAATGTTTTATTGGCATTTTCACCGCGCGTGATGTCCTCGTGCTTTAGTATGGTCTACGAAAGAACGAACTGAGATGCCTGAGAAAGAAAGAAAGAACTGTACGTACGGAGCAAACCACGATCTAAGGTATAGACCGGTCAAAGTAGGAATGTGTGTGTCGTGTTACAGAATTTTACATAAATATACTGAACACACAACAATGTAGAAGCAAGAACGTTTTAATCCGAGGATAGAGAACGTAGAGATCGAATCGATGTAATTTCGATCGTGCTAAAATGTGTAAAGGAATCTGGGTTTCTTACGCGATCCTGGACATTTCCATTACGAGGAAGAGTGTGTAAAAGGAAAAAAAGAACGTATCCCCGAAATTTGTACTCATATAGAAAGTTCAGTTACGAATATTTTCGTTCTTTCGTTGCTGTTCTATATGTCGGTATTACAGCTACCATTCGTAACTATATGTTCTGCGGTAACTGTGAGAAATTGTGAAAGGCACGAAAGCAGGCTGACAGAAAAACAACAGTACGTTTGATCTCTTCACTCATTTTCTGTGAAAAATACGCGTAGAACAAACAGAAAAGTTTCAAGAGTTTCCCATCGCACTGTAATTGATATCAGTACCAAAAAAAAAAAAAAAAAAAATTGCTGTATCCTTCACGGGGCACAAATTTATAATACATCGTATCTCGTTCGCATTGGATCTCAAACCAATTTTTAGAGGAAAATTATTTATCGAATCAATTTATTTACGTTTTACTATAAAGAATTTTAGTGCTATTACATGTTAAAATAAAATGTGATCATTGTTCTAATAATGAACTGTATATTCTACTAATCTACTTGTAATGATCTATTTTACTGAATCTATTCTATTTTGAATCTCTATGATTGGATATACATGGTGAACTATGTACGATGTACTTTACTTATTGTACCGTTTGCGAAGGAATTATAGTTTTACACTTGCATAAAAAAATTTAAACGTACCCAATGAAGATTAAGATTCTTTAGAAGAATGAAACATAAACTTTAAAAAGGTTCTCATGAACGCGTATCATTACTGCCATTACGAGGCATCAACGCTATTATTCGTATTCACGAATAGGATCATGTGGGCTACTTATACTGTTAGATACGTTTCTTCATGAGATGTTCATGCGAGAATATTTTTGTGAGTGTCGCACACGGCTATCACATAGGTTTAATTTGTTAACGGCTCGATCAACGAGAGACACACGTACATTGTGACTGATAGCGATATCAAAAGCAAAAGAAAATAAAATTGCGCCACGTACACGCGGTTAACGATTTCTTCGATGCCTGTGAGAACGGCGTATAAAATTGATAGGGTACTAGGTAATTATTATTCGGATATTCAACGGTAAAAGCAGGGGATGCATAATGGAGATTTATATTTTGTTACAGGAAGACAACACACGTTTTACATTCGCTGTGATCGTCGTAGAATCGACGCTGTATACTGCCGCGAGAATAAAAAAATTTAAAAAATTAATACGAATTATACGTTGCAAAAATGAAAAAAAAAGATATAGAAAAAACATAGAGAAAATAGAAGGAAAAAGATGTGTAAAAAACAGATAGATTTTCGACGAGCACAGCTCCGATGATAGACCAATAGAAACAACGATACCTCAAGAAGACTCAATAGTTAATTATCTCTTTAATGGATTAACTTGTACAGAATCGATATTCTTTTACAGTGACTAATTACGCATACCCGCAAACAGTTGCATACACACATACACACAGATGCACTAGGAAGAACAGAGCGAAATCGTGATTCGATATCCGCAATTTAAAAAGAAAAACTAAACAGTTCTCTGCCCCGCGTTTCATTGGCTTGTGTCTCCGTGCTCGTAATTTGCACTCCGTGTGTACGAAAGCGATGAGAAATATGCGTTTCCAGCCAGAACAAGAAAAAACAAAAGACAAGTGTTAATCCTTTCCAAGCACAGTTCATGTTGTTCCTATAGCTACGCGAAGATTGTTTCTTTCGACAATTAAATCATCTATATCTATATACATATGTGTGAAGTTTTATTATCACTGATCTTTCCGTTATTCCTTTCGTAACATCTGATTTATTTTTAAGGAAACCGATAATAAAAAAGTTAAGAAAATAACGATTTATTACTTATAAATATAAAGAAAATTTATCATTTAAATATTTCGAAATTCTATAATATATAAACTCACCTGTATAAATATACAAAAATAAGAAACGAAATCTCACGTATTCAGTCAGGAATTAAGTGTTTAGGATCGCTAATATTAGCATAAAATACTAGGAAAAAGTGTCCATATGATATACCTGTTCGTTATCCACAAAAAGTTTTATAATAAAAGAAAATAGAATAAATCGTTCAGTTTGTACATGTAGTGCAAATTGATGTGCCGCTCAGAGTAAATATTACGGGGAAGAGGTTCAATAACTGCATGGATGGTACCGCCACCACGTAGGTAATTACTCAAACTGATAACTATACTAACCTACTCGAATTTAGCGGAACGCATCAATATGGCCTCCGGTAGCTGGCTCGTATGCTCGCTCGCTAATTATTTAAGTAATTTCGGGGAACGTGCGAGTGTACGTTGAAATAAACACTTGTGCAAAATGAATATGTCAGTAGAGAAAAAGAAATATCCATCGGCGCTACCAACAAATTGGCCGATTAGGGAAGAAGCCTCGAGAAAAAGCCAAAATCAGTTGTCATCTACTGGAAAAGTTGACGTTTATTATTACAGGTACGTCTTTCATTTTAGAAATGTATATCTTTACGTTACATATATGTCATATAGGAAGTGATAGATACTTGTGTTGTGCGTTCATGATGTATCGATTAAAATCGATGCAGGAACATTTAGTGTCGTCGATTCTAACCTCAGTAATGCATGTTTATGACACCACGAATGTTTCTTCTAGTCGCGGGGTCAGGAATGACGCATCGTTAGTACCACCAATAAGGCAAACTGCATCTATATTCAAACAACCAGTAACCATTTACAAGACGCAGGAAGGAAAAGTGAAGGACGTCAAACATGGAAATCAAGAAAAACCAAAACAGGTTAACATTTGTTACTTCTTTTCCTTATCTGTACATACACATCCGATAATCGTATTATAACATATCTTGCCTATATTTCTAACCTTTATATGTGTACTCGAAGGGCAAACATGTCTCAAGTTTGAAATTGTTTTGCCTCATTCGTTACGTTGTTTATCAAAAGTTCGTCATTTAGTAATAATCGAATCATATTCCCTTCATATGTAAAAGTAATATTCCAAACGATTATTGTAACAAAAGTACAAAGTCATTAGAATGTATGATTTAATTATTGGAATTTGATGTCCCCTGTAAATTCTCATGGTTCAATCATCAAATCATTCGTTTAGGAAGGAGCCGATAAAACTGATGGCAAATACGGCTCCCAAGATAAGCCTAAGCAGGTAACATATTGCTCGATGTACTTATGGAATCATTAATGATTTTGTGATTTTTTTTATATCAATGAATGTACAATGTTTTACACAAAGCGTCTAAAAATGGGCATCCATAATTATCAGTTAGTTTTTAAGCAGTTACATATTGCATGTATCATTAGAAAATCCTTTGTTATGTGAACCTTTCATAGAAATTATATTCATAACAAACATGTGTTTAATGTAATCTATAGATTATTAAGTTCTTCACTGTTATGCATTGTTTGTTTTTTTATCAGTCAAAATATAATGCATTTGATATATTTTGCAGAGACTACGATATTTAATTGTATATTATGATTTTGCTTGCACCATGAAGCAAATATATCCTGCTTTCTTAATTAGATTATTCTTATGCGTGTTAAGTATTATATTATTTTATATACATTAATGTTATGGTCTTATATAAATACTTATTGTTAATTGTACATAAATAATCTTTTTGATCTTACAGTTATTTTGGGAGAAACGTTTGGAAGGTTTAAGAGCATGCGATCCAGATGGCTTCGAATTCGACGCGATGGACTTACCAAAAAGTTTAAAGCCCGTTGGTCCGTATATTACAGAAGAAACGTTGCTTCAAAGTGTTGCAACTGCGTTACACGTTTCTTCTCAACCAGTCACGGGACAAACGGGTTCGAAGACAGCTTTAGAGAAGAATCCCGGGGTATTTCTTAATCCCGATCAACCCCTCGTACAGGTAGAATAGATATTTAGATACCAAATAGGGTGCTATGTATATTAAAATCACTCGTGTTACGTGTAACATACAGTTGAGCACACGATCCAACACCCTATTACGGAATGTAAATAATTATGTACTGGAGGTTTGAAAGGGTATATCGACAAAGACAATAGAGACGGTGTCAACCAAACTTTTAACGTGACTATTGTCAAAGCAAAATCGATAAATTAGTTCCTCTTTTGTTCCAGGCAGTCTCGATAGCTGACGAAGACATCAAGAGACAAGAAGACCGTGTTGCTCTTGCAAGAAGAAAACTACAAGATGCTTTACGAGGAATTGCTATATAAGTTGTACAATTTCTTAGCTATATTTTAATTCGCTCATCCCTAGTCCTAAGTTCGTTATAAATTATGTCATACCAATTTTTATAATAAATGTTTTGTAAAGAAAGAAAAGAAGTAACTCAGTACTATTCGATAAATACTCCGTTATAAGCTAATCGTTCTAAAATATTGTATCGTAAGAAATTCACGCATTTGTACAATACATTTGCAATGTTATTACTCTGTAAACTGCAGCAGACAGTTATTGGTAGATTTAAAGAGTTATTCGCAATTGCAGGGAAAAAACTTTCGAAACCGTGATAAAATCGTGTTGGACGATGGAAGAGGGGTTCGAGCATGTCAGCTGTTCTTTCATAAAATCCAATTTCGCTTTTCGTTACGAGCTGCTGATAATATTAACGGTTTGAGTACCACGGTCATTTGCCATCTGCCCGGATTTTCGGTGTGTATTCAGAAAATTGAGAAGGGTCGGTCACGAGAATTCAGCGATTCCTCGGATTCGACAAACTTAACGGGAAAGAAACTGCATCTGGCTTCACACGAGCCGGAAACGAGGCCGCACGAAATGATCCCTGAAGCGAATGGTTCTGTACGAGAAAAAGTAGAAAAACGCGTGCAACCGAACCATATGCCATTTTAATATATTAGCCATTAGACGTACTTGAATTATTCAAGCACGCGACACATCGTCTTACCTATACCAACGTCTTTTGATTTTATATCTTCACAATGAAATATTCTACAAAGAATCAGAATTCATCATCAACGGAAACAATTTTTTAACGTGTAACGCTTAATCTCCCTTAGAGGAAAATCTGACTGCCAGTTCTAAATTATGGTGTAATCAACCGTGGTGTAATCAAACGTGTATAGTCTAACAAGAGGGAGAATGGGTCAACTATGCATCGATCTTATGCGAAAGTCCCACAGAACGCGAAAGTCAGTGACATCGACGATGCAAGAACGAGCACCTTCATATACGTACACGATATCAAGGACATTCTGCCGTCTAATATATTCCTAAAACATCTTTCTCAGCATCACGACAGTAACGTTGTGCCATGTAGTTTTGTAGGATGTAATATGGCCGTATGGGAATGGGTGCGTGCCTCGAGGCCCGCACAAAAGAATGCTCGGGCAGGTATACCGACGTCGGTTTTCAGGTAAGCCAGGTGGTAACCTCTTTTTTCACTCTATCTGCCTTCTCTGCCATTCTCCGAATCCCGACCTCCGTCCTCTTCTCATCATCGCTCAACAGCTGTTTCCCTGTTCGCGAAGGGTCGTTTTCCCTCATTTCTAAATGGTTAAAAAGAGAAAGAGAGCAAGAGTGGACAAAGAGAGCTACGATAGACATACATGCACATGTCCTACTTTAAATCGTTATAATTCGCCGAACACGTTTGTATATCCCTGCCTAATCGGCCTTACGTGTCTCCTCTTTGGACGCATATACTCGTGTGTGCGTGTCATACCGGTGAAGGAAGTCTGATCGAGGATGTGACCCGAATATTCAGCACACATTGTCAAGGATACGCTTGTTCCATCCGACTTTTCAGTGTTGCTGTCGAAGTGATGCGACGCCGATTGTCGTCCTATAACAAGTAGTAATGTAATATGAAGTATGTTATAAGATTTTTAACCGATGGTATTCTACGAGAAATTAAGAATTCATTTAAGAGTTGTATGAATTAATGAAATCTATATAGATATATTGTCGAGCACTTATAAATACGCTACAAGCATATTAGTAGTTTTTGTATGAATATCTTTAATCGCTTATGCGAGAATATTATCAGTTTGCCGTAGGAACTTTCGCGAACATTCTTAGTCTGTCTAGATTATTCTGGAGTTTACAAGAAAACGATTGCATTCTTGTGTGTCTAAAGTGTGTTAGACATTCCTTACTGGAAAGAAGTTCCTTTGTGTATAAATACAAATTGTCAGAGAATTATAGACATACGTTGTAACCAGAACGAAAATATGTACAAACCACTTTTGAAAATGAACCTTTGCATAAATATTTCCCAATATTTTTAAATGAATACGATTATATTTATTTACGTTGCAATGCAGAGATTACAAAACTTCGCAATTCTAGCTTTTATCAAACACACGACATTGGCGACATTGTTATTAACGGATTAATATTGTTTATATATTGAACAGTAGAGAAAAGCAACGCAAAAATACCAGTATCGTAATAATTGGTTGACAGTTTAAGTTTATCGGTGAAAGTTAATTTTAATCATTCCGTATTTGCGAAACGATAGGTTTACATCTGTAGAAACTTGTTTGCCTCATTTTATCAAGTTCTATTTGAAGAATTAACGTACCACCCGTAAATTTCAATACGTCTTAACACAAATTAAATGTGTATTTCTCGGATAATCGTAAAAAATGGTAATGTTTCACTTTCGTGCGCCATAATCCGCAAACGTACATACAATAAAACAGATAACAAGGCGAGAACAATCGAACGTATTAAACTGTATTCGTTACACGTGGACGTAGCCGGTCCCGGATAAAACTTAATCCCTGCTTAAACGCCGTTGCGGTTGATAGAATATGCGCGTTTGCGGTTGAACGCGTCGAAGAACTTGTAATCTGAGGCAAGAAGATCCGTGTATCGTTATCGCGAGTCTCCCGCTGGAATTCAAACGAAACTATCATCAGGTGTCACGCTTCTAAGCCAATCGAATTCCCCGAAATTAGATTTTGTTGTTTCCACGACGAGACACGTGGCAAACGTCGATTAGAAATTTGAGTCTCTTAAACCTGTTCTGGTTTCTTGGTTTCCGTGTTTGTTTATAAAAAATAGAAATCCATATTTATCTTTTATTTATATTTATCTTATTTATATGAATTTTATGGAACTTTCCAAATTCTATAAAATGCTATTTTTAAGAAAAAAAAAGGATAAATACAGTTTTGTAAAAACCAATTATACTTCAGGTATTTTGATATTATAGTAAGGAAGATAAAGTGAAAGAAACAACATAAGTTCGGGAACCTGTCTTGTATAGTGTTATAAGGAAGAAAATTGAATTTCCGCAAACTAGCGCTCTCCGTAGGGTAAAGTACTTTGCCACGAGGTTATAAAAGACAAGAAAAGTTTTCTTTCTATTTTCATTATATTTCTGTTCTATAGACTTGTATCACACAATCGGTTCGAACATTTGTAACGTTAATAAATTACGTCGAAATCCGGAAACATCTTCGCTCATCGCTATAAAAGGATAAACGAATGAAATAACGAAATCGAAGTAAGTCTACCTATTCGTGAATCATCTACACGAATATAGAAAAAACAAGAATCACTATTTTTAATACGATTGACATAATCTAATCCACAATGGCTAAATTCCAAGCATCATGATGCCAAACAAAAATTATGAAAATTCACAATTCGATTTTCTAGCTTTCTAATGTAATTTTAAAAACCTTTATTGTTCCGTGCACGGTGGCGAGGTTCATCGAGTGATTCTTTCACGAGATTTCGCGTGTAACGTAATTCTCTGAAGCTTTACGGACTAAAATTGGATGGGAAGATTCTATCTGGCACGTATCGCGGATTGTATCTCTGGTTATGTCGAACCGCACTTCTATATAAATAGAAACGCTACTATGTCCTGTTATCGATCGTTTGAGCGACTGAGTTCGACCGTAGAGGGCCGTGTTGACCATGCACACATCGGTCTCTGCTGAAACGGTTCTTGAATGGAAGTACTCGAAAATTTCTGGAGGAGGTCGAATTAAATGCGTACGAAACAAAATTATTAGCGAACGACGGCCAGTTAAATGATAAAGGCCAGATTAACTCGAAATTACAATGGATTCATAATACGGTTTGGAAACATTCAGGAATTACGATGTTTGGAACAAAGAATTCTGTTAATCTTATCATTGCAATATTGCATTGCTTCGATAAATATTTTATAATGTTATTATCGCTTCAGCAATGGTAAAATGCTAGAATATATGTATGTAAAATGTACCTTATAGGCTTATTGTTACAACCGTGAAACGATATATTTCCTTCTTTTCTTCTTAGTTTCCCCATCTCTTTTTTCCTTCCTTCTTTTTTATATACATCGAACGTTTCGTTTTTTACAGTCGGGAGGAAACAATCAATTTCGGCGAGATCCAGCGGATAAACATCATCAGCTTGCAAGAGGCCTTTCAAAGGAGGCGTTGGTCCATCGCTCTCCACGGAAGAACAGCTGGGGGACCTTCGACTCCCAACTGCTATACGTAATCGATGTCGACTGACTTTCTCTCTCGTGGGCCCACCAGACGGGAGCAACGGATAGGAGAGAACTGGCCGCTTTACCAGCTTCGCGTTTCCAGGTATATGCTAAAAATCGTTTCACAATTATTACGTTATTAAGTTTACACGGCATTCACGAAATCATCGACGAAATCTAATAATAGCTACCACGAATCAATTATCATAATGAATTACCATAAAAATGAAAAATTCCTGTATTAGATATTTCTGCTTCATCCTCGCGTTTCATTCGGCACCGGATGAACTTTCGTAACCTTCGGACAAGGGTTCTGTATTTCTTTTTACGTCATCAAGCGACAAAGCGCGCGGAACACGAGCCCCCAGCTGATCCTGATTTTCACCGACACTTGAAGTCATTAAACTTCCGTTCTCGTTCAGGACCCGGTCGATCCAGATGTACACGCACACGATTATTCTATCCCTTGTGCATACACATGTGCACGTGGAATCGTACACACGGGAAGTCTTCAAGCTCGGCCATGGTTTCCGTCTGGCCCATTGTTCGTCGTTTCGTTTCGAGCTCAGAAAAAAGTCGCTCAGATCGAAATCTATTGAACCGTCTGAAAAGCGAGCCTTTTCTTCTTCTTCGCCGCGTGCTCCCTTTTCTACGTCCTTTTTCGTCGTCCTGTTCCCTCCTCGTTCCTCCACTTTTCAATTTGCTCACTCCGTCCTCTACCGCCCTACTATTTCTACAGTTCTCTTTCTGTCTGTCTCTTTCTTCGTATTTTACCCTTAGTCATTGGTCGACCCCTCTCGTTTCATAAAAGCTTTAAATTCGTCTGGGGTGTCGCAGGATTCGCTCATAGGGAAATCGGGGCTAACGCACGGCAATCCACGAAATGTCAAAAGCGTACACGCGATCCTTCGACGAATCGTCTTCCCATCGAACTATGTAGTTTCAAGGTGAGAGAAATTTACGCCGACCATTTTTATCCACAAGGCACGCATCGGTCCATATTGCATACCGAGTATAACTTCGTTTCTTTCGTACCTGCAGACCCTGGAAATCAAGTTTTTTTTTATTATTTAATTTATACTTTACGATTTGTTCAGCTGGACAGTCGGTAAATATTTCTAGCTTGGAAATTAAGTGTATGGTTGTACGTAGATACGTGGCAACTATCAGTTTTGTTTGCTTCCCATTTGGAGTAATTAACGAACTCATTATAGAGTTCGTTTATGACGATTATAGTTTAAGATTGTTGTAAATCGATTGAAAATCTACCTTGCATTGTACAGCAGTGGAAATATTTTAGTTTGGATTGCCGATTATATCTATTGCGGAACTTTTGAATAACGGTACCGAGAAGTATCTCCTATTGATATAATAAAATATTTTATACATTATTGTTAAATCAGGTCATTATCTTTCGAATCCTCTTCTCGATGTCTCTTTTAGATATCCGTATATGTTTTCAACAGTGCAAAAGCGAATTCAGGTATAATTAGGAATTTCCTAGGATGTGCGTAAAAATAACTGGTATTCTGTCGAGCCTTAGCCTATGTATTATATTAGGTTGTTCCGAAAGTTTCTCTCTATTTACAAGCAAATGTTGGATGCAAATATTTTGTGTTTCATATTATCTTATTGGTCTATGTATGATTCATTCGTTCTATTGAAACAAAGAAAAGAAACTTTTGAGACAATATTTATTTTATTGCCTTTATCACTCTATGTTTCTATGTTAAATCTTTAGTTGAATATATCTAATGAATTCGAAAATAATCAACCAATAGTTATAAATTATATTACATTCTTTTAATAAAAAAAACTATAATATGCTTAACGCGTTTAACAAATATGAATTTTAACTTTTCATTGGAACTGCTGCCCCCGTATACCTACACCATTGTCAGATAATTCGAATTCTCTGTGCGAACGCATCCTAGAAGCCGATCGCGAAACGTTTTCCGTTTCTCTGCCGTTCGAAAGTGCCGGCTATAAACACGAAGGGCATCGGTAACCACGTGAATGCATTCTATGATCACCCTTCGCTGTAAATAAATCTTCCATCGAATTCGTAGCAAACTCGCGAGCCCACGTTTCCCGAGCTCACAATGCTGTTCTAATAACTTCAAAATTTCCGCTTGAAAACGTTACGTCCGATCGTATTTCGACGATGCAAAGCAACGATGAATAGATAAATTCCCTTTTTGTGGCCTGTCAGAAGAAGCTTTGGTCCGAGGTTCTCTTAATAGAGAGATTTGAACCTTCAAAGTTAAATTTTCGAAACTTATTACATAGAACCTTCTAGATCGTTACTCTACATTTTTAATGTGCACGAATTATGAAGACCAAATCGTAAAGTTTCTTCCTCTCTTTATTATTTATTTCTCGTGTTTTGAATTTTTAATTGCTACAGTGGAGTTTCTTTTTTTAATCTATTTGTGCAATATATTTTTTAGTTTGAACGTATGATGTTTTTAACTGAACATAAATAATAATTTCTTTCAAAATGCATAATATGCAGGGAATCTCATAGGGTGACCGAAACTTGTTTTGAAAGTGTCTGAATCTCGCCGACTTATGTCTGTCCCTCAATTAATCCTTATTTTTCACGGTTCCCAACCTCGAGCATTCACCGCCCAAATTTTCGAGCTCTCGGCGCACGCGATCCATAGTCGAACGACTAAAGTTCAGTTTACAATGGGCTCCATCACTATATCTACGTTTACTTATTCATAATACATACAGACGTTTATTTACAATCGATAGAAAACATGTATATGTCAAATATGATATCCTTTTATAGCAGTTAGGCTTCAAATATTAGGTATTTGTTAAACCTGTACACTAATAATATACAGAAAAAAATAAAATCATATACAATACTGTACTCATAAATAATACGAACTTCGCTCTATTATGATTCCCTGATATTAAATAAATTTGTAGCTATTACAAAACTGAACTCCTGTTATAATATCAAGAAACGAGAAAAGTTATACGCACTAGTGTCCACTTTCTTATATTTCCCTTAAAATTAAAGAAAGTTTTCAGGCATTGAGAACGTAATTAACTTTCTGTAATTAGGATTTCACCCGATTACGAGGGGAAGAAGCTATAATATTAATAGCAAATTTTTACTTTCCTTTGAAACCTAAAAATAAATAATTCTTATATATAAACCATTTGATACACCGATATAATAAGACATTGATGACAGACAGTGATGTAACAAAGCAGACAAATAAGATTTGAAAAATTCGCAGGTATGGCTGCGCAACTTCTCCAAATTGTACCATATTATAAACGCTTAAGTCGGAGCAGAATCAAAGAATCGCAGCAGGGTAAAATTCATATAACGTGTTCAACTTTTTGCCATGAAGCCGCATCGCGAAAAACAGAGATTAAGGGAAAGGTGGGATCAGGATAGGTGACAAGTGTTACAGACTGCGGTCGGAAGCACATTCCGAGAATGGACCGACGATATATTTAGAAAGGCGGCAGTTTATCCGCGCTATCATCGTTTACCATGCTATTTATGCGTTTTCGCCGTTGTGCAACGGCCTTACGGCCGCTGTTCCATGCTGACCCCGCTTCGTGGACGCCGTTGCGTAGGCGGCCGCCGGATTTCGTGGTTAACCAGATATTGGGATAGATAGTCGATCAATATTGTCAGCACCGACGTGCAGTGGCTTTATACTCATGAATCGCATCGAGGATCAGAGAAGAGGCTGCTTACTATTATCTAATGCTTCGTTCTAGAAGCAATTAATGACCCGGTTTGATTCGTCTGGCGTTACTCCACGTGAATTCGCCGATATTGTTTTCAAAGTCTGCTTCAGAAATTACTTTAATTACAAGATTTCTTCAGGGAAATTGAAGTACGATCGCACGTACTTATATTTATTGTGACAAATTTGAGAAATATTTCTGAATATGTCGTGCATTCTTCACGTTTATACAGCTTCGAATTTCCCATAAATACATGAACATCCTACTAATATCAATCCAAAATCACAATCATATATTACATAAGTAACAATGAAACATCAAGGACGACAAAATATGCTCAAGAGCGGAATGCCAAAGTATTACAAGGATGCACCTTGACATGGCGCCTGTTAGATCTTATTTACCCTCGCAGTCTCGGTTCGCGCAGTAACCAAGCTTTGTATTAAAATTCACACCTCGTGCACCCCGATGACACGCAAAACGGAGGCGTACACAGGCGCGGTGAAGCCTCAAACGGGTGCTAGCCAGTAAGAATACGGCCCTGCCCTTCAGACACGCCGTTCGGCGACAAGATGTGCGTCGGCTCCACCACCGCCGC